GTGGAATTGGAAGCATATTTGACGCGTATTCGAGAGATGCAGAATTAAAGTCCCGGCGAGGGCACTGCACATTTTTATGTCTTCAGAATAACTTAATGACTCTATACCCTTCTCAGGACTCAGTGATTGTTTTAGACTTAAGAGTAATTCGCCTTCAATATATCTAAAGTTTGGTTACAATTTACGAAGGCTAAAAGGGCTAAACAAAACACTACCCTTTCAAACCAAATTACTATGGTTACATTAAATATTGTTTCTTTAATTCTTAGAGTAGTTACACTAACTATCATAAATTAGAACAGTTACAATAAAAAGTGGTATAGTTACATTTTTGCATATTCTGTTAATAGAAGAGTAAATAGGTAACGACATTAAAGAAATTACAATATCGACCCTAAGGGAATTCCCGTTTGAATTTGAATACAAATATACATAAGTTTTCCGATATATTGAATGCGCAACATTTACATGAAAATTCCTAGGTTAGACTCATGTCTATGTTTATTATTTATTTTTTTTTTATTTTTGACTAACATTTATATTTTTGCTTTTTTATCTCGGAAACGCTTTTAACAAAGTTATTCTAAAGAGTAGAAACCTCAGTTTCAAATTTAATCGAATACCGAGTAAAATATTAACAAATCTAGCTTAAATCTTACCTTATTCGTGAATAAGTGCTCGAGAATAAATCGAAGCTAGCAGAAACTTTCGCTGCCAAGCTAATTTGCAACATCAGAAGATTAGAGCGATGATCGTTTTGGATTACTGATTTGCAAACTAATTTCGAATTCTTAAATTTTTCTTTTATTACTTCATTAAATCTTTCTTAATTTTTTCATAACTTACTCTTTATTTAACTTTTTCGATAAAAGATTGCAAATGCTGTCTGAAACCTTTGTCAAGTCATTACTTTTCTTTTTAAGTCCAAAGGGGCTATGTTCCTGAGGGACTATTGTTTTCATTTTGCGATTTTGCGTCGAATCACTCTGCATGTCCGTTTCACTTTTCAAACTATTGCTAACAAATATTATTGCCCTGTATTATGTTTTAAGAAATTAAATAATGAAGAATCTGTATAAATGTATGTATGGTTCTCGCATGGTGATAAAACAACGGTACCTAGAGCCATCCAATTTTGAATGGCGTAATCCTACTGCGAATACGAGCATCTGAAAGCCCAAATTTGAAATTTGGAATTTGTTTTATTATCAATTTCATAGTTTATAAAACTTTAACGAATTTTTGACCAACAAACTGAAGGATTTTGAAGGATGGTACATAAAAACATTTTTATCTCCAGCGCCGCGTGAGACTGTGTGTCAGAAATTCTAAAGATACACTCAATTTAAAATTATTTTTCGATATTGCTCTTGAACTGAATTTTATGGTTTAAGTGCAAAGAACATGTTATTTAATAGATAAAGGTAACACACAAAATGCTAAAAAAAGTATATTTGGAAGTAATTTAAAATCTTAAACCTTTTAGATTATCTTTTTTTTTCTTTTAAATGCTGGAGACGTGAAAATTGTGCCATGTCCTCCCTGGGACGCGAACTCCCAGTACCTGCCAAATACGCGTCGAGTGTGTTTCCAGTTACACCAGGAAAACATGAGGAAGACAATACCTTATCCTAGAGAATCCTAGAGAAAGCATAGATATAAACTGTCTGTCCTCTCATAGGAGGTAATGGTGACCGCCTAATAGGCACTTTCATAATAAAATAGTCACCAAATCTGGCCGTAGCAGTGGCGAAAACCTAAAAATAGGCGATACCGAAGGGCCCGGGTTCGAAGCTCTGAGAAGGCATTAATGTAAACAGTCTGTTACATCACAAGAGGTAACGGTGGCCGCCTAATAGGCGTCTCCATAATAAAATATTCAGCACATCTGGCCGTAGTAGTGGCGAAAGCCTAAAAGTAGGCGATACCGAAGGGCCCGGGTTCAAATCCTGGAGAAAGCATGGATATAAACTGTCTGTCCCCTCATAAGAAGTCATGTCCCCATGGTCACCTGGCGCCTGGATAATAAAATGACCACCACTTCTGGCCTTAGTAGTGGCGAAAGTTTAAAAATGGCTGCTGTACGCATTAATAAAACCTTTTTTTTTATTAAATCAGTGTATTGAAAAAAATAAAAGCCTGTTTAAACTGTCTTTGCGAACTTCAGCAGGACTTCAATGTGAGATTTTTCTTTATTGAGCTCCCACAACAAATATCACGATTTAATAAATCACATGTTTAAATTTAAAGTTTTATAAATTCGGAAGGAAGCATCTGCGAATATTTATTTTTTTAATTGAAAGAAATTTTATTCCTTAAAGATATCTCAATTTATACTTGAACTTCCAGTCCTTTCTTGCAAAAACATGACGTATGTAGGTCACCAATCAAACGGAGAAAAAAAACTAATTATGCATCTGCCAGCTTATTACGAGTGATCCGAAAAAAAAACGCTTTAATCCATCTTAGTCTGCATCACGAATGCTAGCATGAATGGATAAAACTTTCTCCCTTACTTTAGCGTTAAATAACAAATAACATCTATCTGCGACATATTTAATCAAGTTGTAACATGTTTCCTTTTTCCTGCTCTCTGAACTTCCGGGAATTTTTTAAGATTTCTAAACTAATCTTAGTCCAGCAAAACTCAAGCTACCGAACTCCAGGTATTTGAAATTCCAATTATTTGGATCGCTTGATTTTCTTGGTAAGTTAGACGAACTTATTGTTCACTTATTTACGTGTTTTAATTTATTTTGATTGCATGTCAAAAGATATAAAATAAAAAGGGCAATAAAAGCTCTTTTTATGTTATAAGAAGCAGCAATTGAATTCAGTTTATTGTTTTATTTTTGTTGAAATAGATAAGAGTTTTTTATTTATGAAAATAAAAATGACAATATTTAATTTTAATTGGAAAAGTGCGCTTAAGCATTTGCTTTACAGCAAGTACATTTTTATTTGTATAACCGTTGTAGAAATATGACGCATTAAACTCCAAACTATTATTCACTGAAATTATAGCAAATATATTGATTTACATTACATTAAATAGATACCTGATGACAGAGAAAATAAAACTTTATAAGGTATTTCTCCCGCCTTCCTAACGTGCCTTCGTGGTGTAGTGGGTGTACGCTGGGCCGGTATTCCAGAGGTCCGTGGTTCGATTCCTGGCGAAGGAGTTGTTAATTTTTCGTCTTTCCTGCTTACTAAAAAATTCTTAATGTCCCTATAACTTAATTCAACAGATTTGTCAAATGAGCTTTGTAGTTCATCTGGATTTTAAAATCTAACTATACCCATTATGTATTTTCCAGCTTTTCTTTCTGTTTCTACTTTCAAATACTTAATAACATTAATTAATAAAGTCTTCACATCACGCATTATAATACGAACATTAAAAACATTTTTTACTTCCTGTTAATATGAATACTAAATATGTTTCATTAATCTCCCTTTCACAGCAAATCATTCAAACTACGTTCCCTTGGAGTGCTGCAGACGAAAATTAAATATGTCCCCATAGTCTATAACAGGGGTGGCCAAAGTGCGGCTCGCGAGCCTGATATGGCCCTCGCAGGCAGTTTGTGCGGCTCGTGCATATAAAATATATGTATGAAATATAGTAAACTAAAACTATTCGGTGTCCAAAAAGAAGTAATTAATGTAAATATGAACTTGTGGCTTTCAGAAAATCTAGATACTGCTCTTGAACATTCCTGCATTCAAACGTGTGGCTCTTATTGACATGAAGTTTGGCCAACCCTGGTCTATACATTAATTCTATCGCATCGATAAAGGCCAAAATCTGTTCTCTTCAAACATCTGAAACGCCCGTGTATGCGAATTTTTGTAGGAGTGGATTTTCTAGCAATATCCTACTTAAGTGAAGTGATCACTTCTCTCTTGGGGATCTTTATGCTATTTCACCCACTATATACAGTTTCTCTTTAGGACAATATTGCAACAGCGACCATCAATAGATAATCGTTGACGCTGGAAAAAGGACAGGAAAGGTGCATTCAAATAAGAAAGCTACTTTACTCTCTTCAAAAGAATGATTGAATGTAACTTAAAAAACTTTTGTAAGAAACTCTTTCAAATGACACATAAATAATTGAACAGGGAGATAAAATACATCAAAAACAGATGAGAATTCAGACCTTTTCGAATGAAAAAGCCTGTTGGAAAATTTTGGCCGTATCTCTCGAGAAACAATACGTTCAGAGTTTTGAGTGACGTATCTACTCTATCAGAAACTACTCTTTTTTAGCGTTGCTGACAGCCGCCGCGAAGGGCCCGGGTTTGAATCCCGGAGAAGGCATGGATGTTTGTAAATGTATAGTGTCGGTGCGGCATGGGGGCACTTTAAATATACGCGAGCCGAAAGTCCTCTCGTGGGGCTCTCGTGGAAGGGGAGGGGTGGAAGGCCATCGAACTCGTCCCCCCACGGGGTGCTCTCCATCAAAATACGGGGGACTGAGCTAAATCGCACTGTCACCTGAATGGTGCTCAAGGCTGTTGCCAACGGCAGGCGTACTACAACGCTCCTTACCACAAGGAATTTCGCGGGCTGGGGCTGACTACGTAGACAAATGAGCATAAGCAACAACAACATTATTTGCACTTATAGCCTAGATTTGCCCATTGAGAAAGAGAATCCTATTTCAGTTATTTTCTAATAACTCATGGCCTTAATTAAGCATTTATACAATTTCGTCGAAAGCTTAATGTCTACTGATAATGCTTGATAAACACCTTACTTAAAAATATATTTATTATTTATTTATTATTTTATTTTATTTTGTAATACTGCTACCTTCTGCTTTTTTTGTTTTGGCTCATATTACTTGTAAACTTGTAAATTCATACGAAAGATTTCAACTTCGTTCGTCTTTTGAAATTCAAATTTCAACATAATTTTGAGTTTAATGGATTAAAACTACAAATCAACTATTCCACTTAAATCCAGGTTTTAATAAAACAGAACTACTTACAGAAGCTTCATGTTAGTATTGCTCCAGAATGTCCCGTTGGCAATGGCCGTTATTCTGTTGTTAGTTAGGTACCTAAGGGAAAAAAAATCCTTCATTAAATAAAATACAAAAATATATTAAACGGTCTCATATTTTTTGGTAGCATAAAATGTACGAAATGTCTTAATTGAATTTTCACTATGTCTTTTAAAGTACTACCACACAGGCTGAGAAAGGGTGTAAAGGATTCTTTTATTTAACTCAATGAAACGTTAACATAAGCCCACCACTCGTGTTTACAAAAGCCAGCATGAATGGCTTAAATCAAAGGTAATGAATTTGACTTAACGAAGTAAAATTAAGTTACCCTAACGGCTACACAAGTAGAGTAACGCTGTGATCTAAAGTCGGCGTGACAAGCCTAATGGCGAGAATAACGCGACGCCGTAGAATATTACTCTCAAACGAATGAAATTAGAAAGGTGGCCTTCAGCAGGCGGCACACGCTCAGATTCTATGCTCCTAAACCTTCTTTTAAATACTATCTCGTATCACGGGAGGCCTAATGGCAAACCGCACATTGAGTTGATTAATGTTAACGAATTTCGCTTGCAGCTCATGCTCAGTGGTGTACTGTTGGCGTAGGAGAAAGTACTGGCGACTCAGCATAAGCAACCCTACACAAGCCTATTAGTCATGTTGGTTTTACTGTTTACAATTGCAATACGGAAATCTATTGTGTGCTTATTGCATGTGCTTCTGTTTCATTTCATTTCGGTTTATTTTGTTCATAAACATTACATTTAATATCAGTTATTTGACTTAAATTCAGTAATTTAAACTGGATTTATGCCTTAATTTGTTAAAGTATACAGGAATGGTACGTATGGTAAATACTCAATTGCTTTTATTCCTCAGAAGTATAATCAATAAGCATTCAGCTAATGTATCTTGTAGTGTTTCCTAATTTGACAAAAATTTGCGTAGTTTACAATCGATATTTACACTTTAAGTAATGGAGCAACTTACAACCTAACAAGTTTTAAAACCCCGAACTGTTTACTCCCAGAAAACGCAATATCAACCATATACCGTATTTATCTTCTTCTAAAATTGCGCTTACCAGCTGTAATTGCTCCAAATTCTATTCTGGGCATGCCCAGTAAGCTAAATTTGTTTAACATTGATCAACTCAATGTGCGGTTTGCCATTATGCTCACGGGAGCTAGAAATTTACCTTCTGGCAGGAAAATGGGAAAAGAGCAAGACAGAAAAGCAGGTTAACATAAAATAACAGGTTAAAAAAACTAAACAAGACCTTACAATATAAATTAAAAATGTGATCTTTAATAGAAAAATTTAATGTCGAACACAATCACATAAAATTTACAAATGCATCTTTATTTTCAAATAAGAGATCAACGTAATAATTATTTCTTAAAACCTTTTTAAATGTTTCATTTGAACACACAAAGTTTTAAAAAATTTCAAAAACAGTTAAAACAATCAATAATTCAAGTAATGAAATGTATATACGTACGTAAAATAGCTTATCTTGTACAAAAATTTAAAATTTGTGTAAAAAAATTTCTGCATAAGTTAAAGTCATAAAATCTCCATAATGTTTTTCATACGATATGCGAAAAAAAAACGAAAAAAATATTTCATACGATATGCATACTTAAAAATAGATAAACTGATTTTTGTTCCTTTTTAAATTGTTTAAAATTGAAATAAATTAAAACTTTTATTTCAATTTAATGAAAGTCAAAAACTAAAAAAATACTTAAGTTAAGCTAAAAGAGGCTCGAATTTAGTAGAATCAATTAATAACACATCAGTAGTAAAATTCCTGCGCTTAACAAATCCTAGAATAAAATCGAAAAGCAGAAATAAACAGTGAAATAACTGAAACCAATATTTTAACTTTTTGTCCCTTTTTAAATTGTTTACAATGCTCCGAATATTTTTTTGAAAAAGTGGTGAAAGACTTTTGCGTTACTTTATAGTCATTAGTCAATAGAAAATACAAACTTGCTGGAATTATTTTCCTCTCATTTTACTTCGTAATAAAGGAAAGAAAGTAAACAAAATCTTCGCGAATTTTACTCTGTTACAGCATCATTAGTTAAGTTTCATGTGTTGTACTTTACAATAAAACAAGTAGAAGTTTAATGATCTTATTTCTGTGTATACTTCAATATTGATCGCTGATTATTCTTTCCACGTTTGAAAATTTCGGATTCTGCATAAATTAAAGTCTAAATCCGTTAAGTTTTACATAAAATTTAAAATTACTGCAGAAATAACTTACAGCTGTTTCAGGTACATGAGGTTTCCCAATGCATCCGCTTTCAGAAGGGTCACTTCGGACGATGTCAAGATACTAGACATGGAAAAAAAGAATCATATGCTATATTCAATTTAATTAATCACAAAATTATTATATTATTTTCCCATTTTAAAGCAAGAAACTGAATTGAACAAAATGGTCTTTAGAACAGTAAAATTTGCGTCTGGATCTTTGCAAGATTCCCGATTAATTAAAACGTCTAAATACTAGAAGATGCATGTTGACAGATGAAATTTATTTTGAAATACCCAATGGAAACAAAAAGAGTTTAAAATGATGGTAAGAATTTATAAGCATTGCGATAAAATCTAATTCTTCAGCAATTGTTATGAAATACAAAATTAATCAACGTTATACCCGTTTCACTTTTCAAACTGCTGCCACCAAATATTAGAGTCCTGCATTATATTTGAAGAAATTAAATAATGAAAAATCTGCATAAATGTATGTCAATTTCTCGCATTGTGATAAAACAACGGTACATAGAGCCATCGAATTTTGAATGACGTAATCCTACTGCGAATATGGGCATGCGGAAGCCCAAATTCGAAATTTGGAATTTTTTTATGGTCGATTTCATATTTTGTAAAACTTTAACGAATTTTTGAGTAACAAACTCAATGATTTGAAAGCGAGCCATGGCAACACTCTACGGGGAAGGAACCTTTTTATCTCTAGCGCGCGGAACGGTGTATCGGAAATCCTAAAGATAGGCTCATTAAAAATTATTTTGCGACATTGCTAATGAACTGAAATTTATGGTTTAAGTGCGAAGAAAATGCTATTTAATGAATAAAGGTAACACACAAAACGTTAAAAAAACGCCCTTTTGAACGTAATTTAAAATCTGAAACCTTTCAGATTTTTTTTATTCAAAAACATTCATCTATTAAACACCTGTATTAGAATTTTTATAAAGCAAACGTTTGATAAAAATGAATTGGAATATTTCAAATGTAAGCACGACTGTAAATTATTTATTGTTATTGCACAGAATATCTACTGGGAAGGGCAAGAGCTAGTTTTGGTTGTCGTTCTATTTACATTTTTGAAAGATTTAGACATATGCGATTCAGTAAGAATATTTGTTATTAGTATGTAAGCTGAAGTTACGTGTAAGCCTAATAAGTTCCGAGTACAATTTATCTTTCAATAAATGTTTGTCGCTTTAACTCCTTATGAGTGATTAATTTAAATACAGAAAAGCTAAGAGAAATCTTAACAGAACGAAACTATTAAGCAAAGGAAAGTGATTAAATTATAAAGAACTGTTTATTCTCACGATGTTTTTATATTTCTTAAATTCATTTTCTGTTATTTTTATATTCAATCAATTAACAAAACTGCCTGAAAAAATAAACGTTACATAAATTTAGTTTAAAATTTGGATTAAAAGAATCAACAAAAATTATTTTAATGGCTTTACTTTGTAATGAGCCTAAACATAAAATGAACGAAGTAATCATTTCAAAGCATAAACAGCTACTTGTGCTACTAACTATTTGATAATAATGTAAATAATAATCTGTAGTAATGTGTAAATATCCTTAGTAATCTATTGTAACGTGCAATTATCTGCTGTTAAAAATCAAAGTCTATGAAAATTTTGAAAGAAAATAAACATTTATACGAGAATATGTATTTATCCGCGGAAATAAATAACAAAAAGAATATTCATGTTCATCCAGATTTTCCAAATTCGAAAAATAATTTTGGAATTGTAATGAAAAGAAAAATTTTAAAATAAACTATAGGAATAAAACGGAATTTATAAATAAAATTTGAAAAAAATGGCGATATAAGGGATATGGTTTCTCCTTACAGAAAGCAATGTCACACACCTATAAGGTATGGAATCAATGAGGGACTGGGGTATTCTCTTCTACTTCTGTAGAACAGAGCTTTCCAAATCCTGAATTAGTTTTGGGGGTGATAAGAGACTAACAACCCTTTTCCATAGAATGTATCAATCATGTTTCTTTGAGCTCTTATCTGGGGAACATCGTGGCCAATCCATGCGATGGATTCCTTCGCCTAAAAGAAAACTGTCCATTAGATAATCTCGATGTGGCCAAGCGTTATCATCAGTGAAAATGAATTCATCCCCAGTTGCTGGAGCATAAAGGACCACATTAGGTCTCAGGATCTCATCCCTATATCGCTGAGCCATCATTACTCCATTCTTGATAATAACAGATATGTTTTATTATTAAACAATAAAAGGGGTCTATAAATGGTAATGTGAAAGTCGGGGAGGCCATTGATCGAAATACCGGTCCAGACTATCATTAAACCTCAGCCAAATTGGCCGCGTTTATGCACAAGTGCAGGAGTATTCCGTGTATCAGGTTCTCTATGGATGAGAATCCGTCTATTGTCAGGTTGTACACTAAAGCCCGACTCGTCCGTGAACAGCACGTTACTCCACTTATCTCGTCCCCATCTGAGTTGTTCTTGTACCCACCTTCTAAGGGCAGTACGGTGGTCCTCTGTTAACGAAATACAAACCATTGGTCTGCGAACATACAAACCTTAATAATATCTGTTATTATCAATGGTTTTGAATTTGTTATTATCAATGGTGGAGTCGGTTTTGAACAGCTAGAATCAAAACTCTGGTACCCGTAGCTCTCTGGAGGTGCTTTTGCAAGAAAGTTGTGGTCATCATACGGTTTCTTCTTACCCACTAGTGTTAAATACCGATCCTCATTTTATGTTGCTGCATGAGTCAGACCTTGTCTCGATCTTCATCGAAAATGTATAGTTTCCAAAAACCATTTCATAGTCTGGAAATGACACTTTGACAAACTCCTATCGCTTCACCTACAACGGATTGCGTTTGATCCGCCTTTAAACAACCGATGGTCCTTCAGATTACCGATTCAACTAATCTTGCTGAAACATCGTATTCACTGTTACAAAACATTCAATTCCATATTAATTCTTTTTAGTCTCCCGATGCTAGAGAAGGAATACTACAGGTCGCTTTTGACCCGTGTCTGAAACGCGTTTCTACAAAACTGTGACTTCTTCCTGTCTTCTCACTTCTTCCTGTCCACGTTTCGGGAATCTGTCGACAGGGCATCCCGTAAAATACATGAATGTTAATCATTCAAAAATGAACATACGAAAGAAAATTTTAAAAAAATTCTTTTCGCTGTTTGTTTTTAAATTTTCTTTAAAAATCTATATAAAACGCCCTGAATTTATCAGCTGTTTTCCAGTTCTAATTTAGAATTTCCTCTAAGGATAAAAACTGTGTTAGCCAAACATTAAATAACATTTTTAATCTCAAGTATATATTCTAACTGGAAAAATTATATGTTGGTGACGAAAAGTTAAGAATCATTTGGTAATTAAATGCGCTTTTGCTTAATCGCAAACGCAGTCAATGCTAATGAATTCTTCAAACGCGGTTTTAGATTAATTAGAGCGACTGTGATTTCAAAAATGGCATAAAATTGTCAGAAAAGAAAATCGTTTCGCTTAATTAAATCCAAACCCGTTTGAAAGTCAATACGTAATCAAAAACTTATGCTCTCAAAATTTGATTAGTACCCTTTAGAAGTTCAAATGCGGTGTCATTTATTTGATTAAGAAATTTTACCTTCAGGTGTTGTGATGATTAAAAAAATGGGCTGTAAGAAAGAAAATTTTTGGTTAAAAGTTATATTACCTTTATTAATCGGTATATTTCCTTTCATCAGATTCATGATATTTGATGCAAGTCACTAGATATTGAAATCAAGCAATTTAATATGCATTTATTATATTAATGGAATTTAATAGGCATTTGTCTGAATTTAATATGCATTTAGAATGCATAAAAGACTAATTTTTATTCAATCCAAGGTAATATTTTTTTAAGTCTGAAAAATTGAAATCTAGTATAATAATAATAAATTAAGAGTTTAAAATATTTCATTTTTAATTTTTTTACGTTACGTCAAACACACTAAAAGTGAGGATTATCTGCCTAAGGGAGCGATGCCTTCGTAGAGCACCCTCTAGATGAAATTGACTCGTATTCATGTGACGTATAAGAAAATTCATGGAAACTGACGTGCAGCCAAACCGTTTGTGGAAATTCGAAATCAGTTATTTTTAATTACATTTTTATTTATTTGACCATTTGTAAATCTGAAGCACTTTAAAAACATTATTTGAAAAGAAAATATTGAGAAGATTTTAGTATTATAAATGAGCCAAAAATTTTCGGAAATTAAATATTTTCGAAATCAGATTTATTTAGTATGTTGTTTAGATCATTTCCAAATGTACACGAGAAAGCTAATATTTTTTATAAAGGATTAGGTAGTGTAGTTATACTTGATTGCTATGTATTTAATCTAAAAGCTTACAGTTTTTAAATAAAAACAAAATAACCAAATAACGAGCAATAATATTAATAAAAGTATTAAAATATTTTGAATTTCCAAGCTAATAAAATGTTATTACTTCTCACTTGAAACTGCAATTATAATCAACTTATTATGTAATCAGAGTGTATTTGTTTAAATTCTATAGCAAATATAATAAATATTTATTTTCATTGTTTTACTTTCTCGGTAATTTTGCTTTATTTATTTGCTATTGGTTCGTTATCACGCCTTTGATAAACTGATTTCTGCGCGTTATTTTAAAACTTCTTGAACTTTACTAATTAATTTCCTCTTCCAGCTTTTATCTGATGTTTACATCTGCTTGAAACACAACCAAATGCTCTAACTAGTTCTTGTTGCGAAACTACCGAAAATATTGTGAAAGATAGTTTAATTGAAGTTCATGTCTCAAGTCTGGATCCCTGTTTCTCTTTCAATAAAGCTATATAAACGAGTAAAAGTTTTCTATAGATATCTAGTTTGCTAAAAGATTCTATTGTATATCAAAAAAGTCCTTCAACATCGAAATTTTTTAAACTAAATTTTATAGCAAAAGCTGTTTTGCAATAGTTTTGCTTGGTCTAACAGACACTCCGAGATATACCATATATAAAATCAAGCAAATGCGTCAAACCCAGATATTCTATATAT